CAGAACAACAAACCAGGACTTTAAAGATGCTGCAGAAAATATCTTAAAAGTTATATAGTTATGGATGAGACATTATTAATATAACTACAGTCCTGCCATTGAATTAGCAATATAAATATAGTACAAATAATGAAAACTGCCTCTGTGTCTCTAACTTGTTTGTTACCTTATTATACAAGTTGCTCTTTCAGAAAAATCTGAGCCCCATATTCCAGTTAGTTTGGGGCTTCATGGACAGGTTATCAACTGAGAATAGCAAAACTGCTTTCTTCTAATGCCAAAGGAGCTTTAAGGGTAACACTGTTTTCTTATTCTGATAATGCTGCATTTACTCTCTGCTTTACATATGGACTTCTGCCTTGAATCTCTCTCATCCCCATTCATGCCAGATGCTTTATGACAGATTTAAATTTTGTGCCTATCCACCAAGTGTATATGACCAAAGCACAACAAAACAGATTATCAAGGTTAACTTCTGCAGTGACCTAATAAGAACATTGTGCCTGTGTATGTTTTTCATAAATACTCTTGTCTGGGTCACCACTTGAAATTTTACACTAAAATGGGGATCACTAAATGAACCAGAAAATTACAAACTTTAAAAACAGAAGCAGCAGGATTTGGGAATAAATATTACCCAGGGACTGAAACTGTCACTGACCTGAGCTTAAAAATTCCCATTTTACTTGAACTGGAGTTCTAAACACAATCTGATGGCTAGGTCCTTAATGACAGTGGAACTCAAAGAAACCGCAGAGCAAGGTCTCATCAATAGTGAACAATCCTGTGATATATCAGACACATAAAATTTCATGTTTCAGTTCAGCATTCACCCAATAACTAAGCAGCATTGAGTTCCAGTAGATCTTTCCACCACATCAATTAATTCTAATCATTATTGGTATATTCTGTTACAATCAATCCATTAGATTCTTGTGACAGGGACACTTAAAACACTGTTACTCAAGAGCTTCTGGATATGAAAAGCGGGGAGCAGAAGTTTTAATTCAATTGGCTCTTGGTCATAGAAAAAGGATTAAAAAAGGGAAAAAAGTATAACCTTATTAACATTTTTGTTTGTCATCTTCTCAAGTTTAAAGACATTGCACCTGAGGCTTCATTGATCTTACATGTTTGTTTAGTCAATTATACTAGGCAACCTAAGTATAGAAAACAATGGCATTCTCATTTAATAGTGTTTTACATACACTTTGCACAGAATGATAGAGTGTAAGACATGACTCAGGCCTTGCTTTTCCATTATTTATATTCTTTCAAAAATCACATCTGTACTTTATTTGTAGTAGTGGAACTGTGGCAAAAAGTATTTCTATTCTTTGGAAGAATTAATATAAACCGGTAATAACTTGGCTTTATGTAAAAGCTGTGCAGCCTGTGAAATGGAGATGGAGAGATACGTCAAACAAAGGTCCCAAAGCTCCATATGGAGAAAAATAGTGCATCTTAATACAGAGACTGATGCTACAAACACATGCAGTGGTGCAGGTTTATTATCCTGAAGAGTCCCATTGAAATCAAGGGGTTCAATCAGTAAGTCTGCTATGATTCCTTTCCGTTACTCTGCCAGTGCAAAGAGGCTCATCTTAGGCAACTGTCCAAAATATTCCTATCTGGTATAGAGTTCTACTCAATAACTCCTTGCTCCCCCAGTTATAAGGGCTGTACCTGGGAGAAAGGGACAGAGCCAAAGTGCATCTACTTTACCACTTCACCTCGCTACTGGAACAGTCCCTTTGAACCACTAACTCTAAGTTGAAAATTACAGAAGCCTTGAAGTTACTCTACCTTCATTTGCTGGAAAACTGCCTGCTGACTAGGCCTGTGCAAATAGGAAACTATTCAAATCGGATTCAGCCAATTCGGATGCCAGCAATTCAGTTCAGAGGTCCAAATCGATTCAGAGGCTTCAGAAAGCTTAAAGCTTCTGGCAATTCAATTCAAATTCAGAGATTCCAAATCAGTCCAAATCATCTCCGAATCGAATCACGATCTGAAGCTTTGCACAGCCCCACTGCTGACCACCACCCTAGAATCTGTTAGGCTGCCTTTGCTCCCCTGCCTTTGGCCATTCAAGTACAGCTCAGCCAGACCAAAACCAGGGCCAACTCTTTATAGCTCTATGTCCTGTAGTATTTACAAAATATGGTCCATGTTCAGCAAGTTACACATTGGGTTTGAAGCTACTGAATGCCAATTGAGGCAGCAATGGGACAGAAACGTTTCCGGACTTCCCTCAATACAGAGATTACTGTACTTGAGTTCTAGTTGCCTTTGGCTTTACCTTTTCAATTTTACTTTTTTTCCTTTCAGAAATAAATGGCCATGATTATAATGATACATTATGATAAAACTAATAACTAATCTATCAAATCAGTTCCTTTCTGGAAGAAATCTCTGTTATATAGATGTATAAGTTACAATGTACATAACATGTTCTTTTACACAGCTTTCTAGTTGGGCACAAATTTCTTCCAACCCAACATCACCACACAGGTACCTGATCCTCAAGAGTACTGATTTCCCACAGTTCCAACTAACCTCAGTAAGCACTGTGGGAACTCACCATTTCTCAAAAACAACTCCAACCCTTATGTAGTCTGACCTTCAACACCCAAACAAAATCATCTTCCAATTAAAAGGAAGAAATACTGTTAAGCCAACTAATCAGAGATTTTGATTTTCCCATTATCACTGTGAAATAGTCAGTCTTCCTGGTACAGAGTAGATCATTCAGTAGTCACCTTTGCAAAATTTTCACGAACATCAATCAATTCAATACAGATATGTCAAGCAATATGCATTTTTGAAAATGAGCTACAACACATTTTAGCTTTACTTAATAATGTACAAAACACACACCTCAGTAATTTCATTATGTAACCTCTGTGCATCAATTTTGGAGAAAAATACATGAAATTACATGTTAACTGACTTTAAAAGAACACGAAGTAAGAATAGTAAATACAAGTTCTTTGATCCAAGATCTAGTTCTGCTTTTTTTCTGAGTATAAATAGCAGTAAAAGACAATAAGCAGACAATACAGTAATCTAAATATGCATCAATACAATAATTAAATACAATACACAACTGTCATACACAAATGCAGTGTTCCCAAACCTAGTACTATCTTAGGCCTAAAAAAGAACAGCCAAGTGAATGCTTACTCTTCAAACTGCCATCAAGGCTAGGGACAGAAATTACACATAAACAGGTATAAGTGATCAGAAACCAGTTTAAATCTGTAACACAACAGAAGTTCAGCACACATAAACCACTTTCAAAATGGCCAAAACCAGTTTAGGATAAACTTGGGTGGATGTAGTATCAGACGTCATTGATTTATGTTAAATCTGTCTCAGATCCCCTCCAGATTCAAGTTAACTCACAGTCCCCCATCATCCCAGGATGCTTTGCACCTCCCCTGCAAACCCATCCCTGAAAGGTGGGTGGGCTAGCTTTGGCCCAAGCAGTCTGTTCCAGCTGAGTAGGGAGGCATGCTATAGTACCCCCCAGCTTCTGGTCTGGGCCACTGAAGGCATGTGGCTGCATTTCCAGAATCAAAAGGGAATGTCTGTTCATGTGCTTATCAGTTCAATCTATGCAGTTTAGACTAACCTACAAAGACTGAATCAATTTAGCCTTGGGCTTTTTGTCTTAGCCCAAATGATAAAATGTGATACCAATAACACTAGTAATTGTAATAAAAATGGTGGAGGATTAGAATAGGGCTTCATAAGGACACATTGTCAGAACTTTAACTATGGAGAGACTAGCACTTTTCCATAAGTAAATTTAAAAATAATGCATAGAATGCATATTGTAGTTTCATCTTCAAAGTGCTGTATAAACAAATACATAGCTACAAGAACATATCTCCAACTTCAGATTGCTCTCTTAAAAAGTATAGTTTTAATGATTGCAGAGGCATTACTTGAGACAGGATAATAGCCAAGACACGGGTGGTCTTTATACACTACCAAAAAGTTTGCATTCAGTATTAATAAATAACATGTTGGTCTCATTTAAAAATACTATAAATTTGAATAAATCAACTAGCACAAAAAAAAAAAGCAATATCTGAGAATCAGTTTCTAAAAGGTATACAAGAGGATCTGTATTGATGGCTTCTACTGTGTAAGTTATGAAATCAGTCTGGCTTGTGCCGTTTTAAATACATGCAGGGATTTGTACGATGTAGCCCAGTCAAATGTAAAAGTTTAAAACAACAGCCTGCTCAGATTACAGTGAGATCCTAATCTTTTCACAGCAAGTCAGACACACACACATGCGCACACATACACAAATCTAGAGACACCTGTAGCTGTCAGGAGCTTCACTTGTTCACCCACATAGAAATAATGAACAGAAAGGGTCAAATTTGTTCCTAGTATAAACAGTTACTCCAGGAACAAACATCTTCTTAAAATTCCTAGCCTCTCCTGATATTCTTCCCACTCAAACCTTTTTATTCAAAAGAAATTACATATGATTTTATTCTACCAAGAAAAGCGTAAGGGCTCATAGATTTCTGAAACCTTATTAACTGAGCAAAGAAATAATAAAAACAACCCCAAGGCTCCTGGTGCTTATGTTTCTGGTCTTGTCAGAAGAAAATGCAGCAAGCAAGCAAGCAATATATAACCCTAAAATTGGTGATCTCAGACTTTTCTGAGCTAAGGCTCCCAAACAAAAGTTCTGCAAACCACTCAATGAAACAATGACAAAACAGAGAGAAAATCCTTACAGCAACTACTTATCAAAGGCAAGTTTCTTGGAGAAAAGAAAATAAAGAAGGCAACAGGAAACAAAACACAGCAAAAGTTACAGGGTAGCTAAGCATTTCAGATAGACAAAAGATCTCCATGGATGAATTGTATCCTTAAACCTGTAGCTAGTACTTATACAAAAAAAGATGGGAGCAATCAGAGAGCATGAAAAGAAAAAGAGGAAGAAGAAGAAGAATTTAAACTGATCTTACCAATTGTAAAGCTAAAACCATCGATGCTGAAAGTGGCACTCCGGCATTTTTTAAATCCTTCTTTTCTACTGCTTGGCTCTGTCATGATCCTGCCAGTTTGTACTCCTGCTGCAGCAATTCTCTCCTCCTGAAATCAATGCTTCCAAGCTGGCAATTAGCTACCCTTGAATATCTGCCTGTGGCAGCACTCACACCCAACTTCACACATCTCCTAATGCAGAGAGCTGAATCTGAGAGACATGCACACAGCAGTATTCTCCACCCCCTAAGACTGTCACT